TCACTCCTCTTTCTGTCCTGGCCTATCTATCTACTCTTTACCCTCTTATCCCATTGCCACCCTATCACAAATTCTCACTTGTCTACATTCGAGTCATCAAAATGTGTGCCCTTTTGTAGCACTTCTAGTGTGGCCCCATCACACTTGCTATCTACTCTGGCCCCTTTCTTTATATCGGCTTATCCGACTCGGGCCTCCAATCCGGATACCTTTATTGTCTCGTGGATCCGTTCCTTATCTTTCTGGTTCACCGATTCCACTCGGTTCCAGTCCCTGTGTGAATTTCACTCCAGGTGCTATTTCTCAAGGCCTTAGAAGCTGTCCTGACTGCACACTGCCGCCTCACTATGCAAAACACCCAAGCTCTGATTGCCATGCTTGCAGATATCAGGCCTTCCCTTGGTCTTTATATATTCACTTACTTCTTAAAGACTAACTTTGGTTTCCATTAGAAGGATTTTATATTTTTCACTTATTCAAGAAAAAATTAAGGTTTGATTATTTTAACGAAGGTATAAAGACCAAGATGGTGTGCCTTTTTGTGTGGTCGCAGTATTCTTTCGTTGTATAGAAGTTGTTTGACCTTGTTTTCCCAACTCGGTCATATTGGTAGGAAGACTTAGAGGAACGCACCTAGTCCGGAGTCTATTGTATGCATCATCATTTCCAGAGTAGGACCGTGGACGTGGTACCTTCCCAGACGTTTCACCGGCATCGCCAGTGAGTCTCGCCATTTGTAGCACCATATTACAACACGTCAAAGAGACAAGTGAAGCTCATTCTTTGACCAAACGTGTGCTAAACAGTTGTGGTATCTCTCCTGCCCTGGCCTATTCACATTTCCTATATCCTCCTATCATGCCATCTTTGTCAAAATTGTTATCGTGCTTATTTTTAATGTGTTGTGGTATGCTCCTTCGAGCAGCATTCATGAAAACCCTTTACGCTCTACACTGTCGTTATCACCCCCTTCACCCTTTTCTGGGAATGCTGACCAGAATCTGTCATATTGTTACGTAGTCCTTCCCTGGGTCCTATCAAAGTCTCCCTCTTTCCTCGTCGAATCCGTCTGCTAGTACATGTATTTCACTCGACCCCTGCTCCCCCAATCTGCTATTCGAGGCTAATTCGTCCATCCCTTGCACCTGGGCGATTAATTAGAGGCCATAGCCTTAGAGTTAGTCTCACGGTCATGCCTTTGCTACGTGGACCACGTCTCTTGTAAAACCTACTGTCAGCTAACTAGCTCCAATCTCCACCTCGTCTATCCTGTCTCTATTCCTAATACCAAGTATTTGACTTGCTATGCCCTAGTTGCTTGTGCGCCAACCCACAAATGTTGTGGTACTGCTGGCTTTGATTAGGTTCAATATTGAACCACAACGTTTGTAGGTTGTCACACAATTGATTATTTTATGCTTTATGAACCTTAATATAAGCGTTGCTTAATCATTAAAAACTATTGTGCAATTGTGTTGTGGTTATCGTTCTGGATACTTATTATGAAGCTTCGAACTATAATTCATTTAGGAGTTGTCGACATATGCTTTCGCTAGCTTTGAATGAATGAATAAGTTTGAATTCATTAAATGATTTTTTATTAAGACAACTTACACTATTTCAGATAACCCCAACTATTTCGTTTTTTATTAAGTAATCTGTCTTGAATGATAGTGTATTTACAGAGTTATTTTTTTCATTGAACTTTTTACATTCTTTTCAATACATCTCATAAATGTTGGGAACCCGTAATGATCTATATTTACTTATTATCTATAATATTCTGAGACTAATATAATAAATTAAGTACAATCGGATATCCATTTTCTAACTTTATTGTTCTCTTATATTCTTTTTGTCTCACGAACTCTAATTTTTCCACATAATATTATAGATAAAGTGGCCTTTAAATTGAGCCTGATTTTCCAAAAGTTTTGCCTTATAAGAATCCCAGTTAAAAAGATAATTTTTTTTCTTGGGCAATTCACACCTTGTACATAAATGTTGGCCAATCTATACTCTTTACAACACTTTTTCTGTTTTTACAGAAAGCTAACTATTCCGATGAACGATGGATTTCGCAACTAATTTTTCACTCACCTATATTTGCGTTTACTTTTTCCTTTTATCAATTGTTTTTTATCTTCTTAGACGGGAGGCAGTGAAATGAAAGACTTTTTTGAACGTAACTTTTACTTGGACATAATTCTATGTGAAATCCTCAAACATTCCGGTTCCAGACGTATCATGCTCACCTGCTTTGATCCCGAAGTCTGTGCTATGTAAGTTTTTTAAACTGATTCTTATACCCTTTTTATGAGTTTCTTATCCTTTTTTATTATTATTATATTACAGTGATTTTCATCACTGTTTCGTGCTTTATATATTTTTAAATTGCATACTTTTCTTGCCAAATCTTCTACAATGTTGCTTTTCTTTGGTAATAATTGCTACTTCGGTTCTTTACTTTACATTTCTGATTTCCTATCCGATTTCTGATAATGCCATTACCATTGAGTAAACTCCAATAGAGCTTTTTATATTGGATTTTTTGTCTTATCTCTACATATGATAGTATACTATAAAGGCTGCTTGGCCGCTTTTAAAAACATTCATGACCAAGCTTGTTCCTACCTTTTTTTGTTCCGTATATGATAATGGGCATATTATCCGCTATAGTATCTAGGGTCCTAGTGTATCCTGAAATTTATAATTGAAGTTTACTATATAGCTTCTAGGGTCAGTATTCAATATATTACTACTTGTATTTATTATATTATTTAGTAGGCTCTAATCTTTTTGCCTTATTACATGCTTTGATTTTTAGGCTCCAGCTCAAACAGAACAAATACCCAGTTCTCCAGCTTGGAATTGCTCCCGAGTACATGGATACACGTCTTGAAGATTGCTCTACTTTGATGTACTCCGCTGTAAGCAATGGCCTCTTAGTAAGTAATGCTCTCCGTTTAGGTTCACTATTAACTACGACATTTTACTTTTTTGCTTGGAGTACCCTCCTAATTTATTCTCACATACATTGAGAGCATAAAATTAACCCCTTGTTTATGACCATGAGGGAATTTGATTATCACATCGTACTAGGCCGATGAATCATGATAAGGGCTATTCACATATAGTCTTTGTTGGAAGTGAGTGGTGAAATAAATCTGCAAAATTTATATAAGTGAACTAGCCGTTGTAGTAAGGAAGACTAAGGATGATCATTTCGTTTTAGTCTTTTAGTAGTTGGAATTCATGGGTGCCTTGACATCCTTGATATAGAAATAATGCAAC